AGGTTTTCCAGCTTGATCTAGCTTCAATTGACTCATGATCTTAACCATTTGAAATTACTATCATATCCACACACAAAAAAACCCTTTCTGATATTTATCAACTATGTTTGAAACCTGATTCACACTATAGATTATATAAAACAACAATAGTAACATCATAGTAGAACATCATAGTCTTATAGAGTATCATTAGTGATAACTTCATTGAATATAACTCAAACTGTTATAGATTCGAATCAAGTGAGAAGTAAGTAAGCTCTTCGAAAACTGTTGATATGAAACTTAAATGAATGTATTCAGTATTGTCATCCATGATCATATGTTATTTACTTATTTAGTTAGTTACGACTGTTACTCACAATGAAGCATACGCCGATGACAAGCATTCTCCAACACACTATCCTGGCCCATCTTTTCTAGTTCTATCTAATTGTAGTTCATTCTTCTCATGTCTGTTTCCATTTCTCGGCGTAATGTGTTCTTTAGTTTTCCACTCCTCCTTTCACCTTGAGGATTCCAAATAAGGGCTTGTCTTGTGACACGGTTGTATCCTATCCACTTCCAGTACTTCTTCCTTATTTGTTCCTCCACAGGAATCTAGTTTGTTCTATCCCACGATAGGTTGTTGTTGATAATGTCTGTTCAACAAAATAACTGTTAATAAACACTTATATCTTCTAGATAATACCATTCAAAATTCTCTAAGTTATAATGATATATGAAGTTATTAGAAACTGTATATCCGAACTTGGAGAATGCAGGTGACTGGCCTATGCTCCTTCACGAGGAGTAACAGGGATAAGTAAGTAAGTAATCCGAACTTACCATTTTTTTTTCTCTCTTCATATATCTAGTCATTATTCATTTTTTCCATATAAACATTATTTTTCACTAATATAGACTAAAACAATTGACATTGTCGAATAGTGAATTAGATCTATTTCCTTATCGAAGTGATTTACAATTTCCTTTATATGAACCTCTTATTGAAATTCAATGTGATACTTAAATAAGATATATTATAATCAGTAAGTGATTTAATTGGCGCCGAGAAACGACATCAATTAAGTATGCAAATGATATTCATGTTCATGTCTAAATCAGTTCGTCTGTCTTATTTCTTTCATCATTTTTATTAAATATTACCGGAAAACATAAAAAAAATCTTTCATTTCTTCATAATTTATTCAGTTTTATTTAAGGCTGACATAGTAGTATTGGCTACTATACTGTATTGATACAATACTTTGATTCGTTTAGATTGATATGATAGATGAATCAATGTTAGACCATCATTGAAAACTTCGAAGGATTAAGTGGTTGTTTCGTTCTAGTATCAGACTCATCCATAGTATTATGTTCGTTAACTTGAATGCTACTACTGATTCGTCTTACTTGGAACGGAATGAAGAATCAAGGATTCAGAGACTCGATAGGCTATAGTGGTCTGATGTCTCCGACTCAGCGAACTCGATCCAAAAGTCTTGATAAGATGTAGAACGTGTATTCTACAGACAACCAGAAGATACCCTGTCGCTCAAGCACACAAATCAAGCGTATTTATACAAAATATAAATAATCGATATTGCCATGGAAGTTTTTAAACATTTGATCGATAAGTTCGTCAATCGACTATGTGCGTGAGGGGTAAAAAATGCCCAAGCATACATCTGCATACAAGCTCCACAAAGATAAAATTACAAAATATGAGTTTTGGAGATCTAACGTCCCGAACATATAGTGAATATCCAAGATCTATCACATGAGACACGAACACAGGTTTAACCTCTAGATCACTGAGCCGGCCGGCATCCAATGGTGTTAATTTCTAACTTTAATAAATCTACGATATTTTACGACCGTTTACCATTGTCTTCAGTGAGTAACTATCTCATACCAGACATAGATTGAACTCCAATAGTTATGGTTTCTCGCGTACGGGATCGTGAGTCTGCACTCTTGAGGAGTCCCATACTATCTATATAATGATTATAATTAGTTTCATCATGAAGTTTATTTAATTCATATAAAAATTTAGTTGTGTGAAATCAAAATCAATATGATTCATTATGATTCTTAATGGCTTCTAAGCATTTATGTTTGTGCTCACAAATGCCCTGATACGATCGAGGATGGGGAGAGTCAGCTCTCTCTCTCTTTCCAAATGCTCTCACATTGCCACGTGTATATAGCCATTGACATGAAATTCCTACTCACTGCATTCTTGCAACACGAGTGTTGTTTACGAAATTGAGAGGACGAAAAATAAATGTCCTGCGAATTAACAGGGTTGGTGGACACAGAACGTCCACCCAATGGAAGTGGAAAACGTTGATTCCAGGCCAATGGTGTACATGAGCTCCAGTATCTTGAAAGAAAAAATGGCATATGAACCAAATGTTGGTCACCGACTACAATTCGACTGCATCTTGTGACGTTGCTCCACCTCCTTGTGAATCAGACCTTTAGGTTGATGACTCTGATTGTGGCCCTCTAATAAAACGTCACACTTCGTTTTGGGTACCCGGGCATTATCCCAGCCCTCACATATGTTTTTGGTGTCTTCGTGTAACAATGTTTATATGTTTAAATAAATAAATAAAATGATGTGTATCGATGAAGAACATAAAACTATTCCTTCTGTGTATCTTAGAATACTTGGAATACCTAGGAATCGATATACATTTTTAAAATGTCATAACTGAACAAAAATTTGGCTTTTTAGAAGCTAATACAAACATATATTTTGGCTGACATTCAATGTGCTAAAGTTACTGAGCAATATTTAATATGTTGTATAGGTTCATTATTAGACAATAAGACGAACCATTTCTAAGCTAATAAATTATTTATTTGAGATACTTCACATTGATCTGTAAGCTTTTCTGGTCAAACTTTGAAACTGTTTGGTGAATTCATATTTTGTTATTGTTCACTTGGTATTGTTTGCTTGAATCTTCCCATTGAGGTTAAGACGGCTATTGATCAGACTGTTATTGACATATGTGCTTTGCTGTGTGTACTGTCTCGATAACGCCTTAATTCATAAGCTTTATAAGCAAAGATGGATTGTGGACAGTAATGGGATCCAGGACGCGCGTCTTCGTCCTGTTGCTGGACTCGTAAACTGGATGTATCTACATCTCAGAGTTGATGTTCACCCTGGGACTCGAACACAGTACCATTGACTTCAAACGCCATCGCTATATCCACTTCACTACTGAGTCCTGATAGCCATTTGCTTGTGAAATGTGGTGAATTTAAATTCACTTGATATTGTTTGCTTGAATTTTCCTATTGCGGTTTAAAACTATTATTGATCAGTATCATTATAGGCATATGTGCATACTGTGTGTACTGTTTCAATGTAGAAAATTGAAGAATTTCATGATTGAGTAATGATATAATCCTCTTTTTTTCTGCTTCTTCCTCCTCCTCCTCTTCTTCTTCTTCGTCTTCTTCTTCTTCTTCGGGATAACTTACTTATTTTAATTTATGTCCATAACTTATTTCACATTCTTTGTCATTGGAAATAACAAGTTTGTCTCACAGAAAAAAAAAGAAACAATACAGTGATATTTCCACAAAATTTTGCTTTAAGTTGCCAAGGTTTCAATTTCACATTTTAATGACATATTGAATAGTAGAAAACATATACACAAATAGAAAATTCAGTGGTTTTTAACAAAGATTTATGCATAATTAATGAGTATGTAGATTATTTTGCTTATTGTTTATTCTATGTACTTCTCAGTAATACAAAACAAAACAGAAAAAAAGGAACAAAAATATGGGTAGATAGTTTGTATGAATTACGTTCACATGTGTATATACACTGTATATCTAACTAAACATTATGGATATATGTAAAAAGTAAACATCAATATCTTTTTGAATATCATAATAGACTATTGAAATGAGTTTAATATAAAAGTCTAGAAGAACAATCTTGTCTAGAGGTTAAGGGTTCACGCACGAAACTGATTGATCCTTGGTTGGAATCTTACGGGATGGGGTCGTGGATGCGCAATGCTGAGAAGTGTTACAACGGAACGAAACAATCATCCAGTGATTCCAGGTTTTCCATAATGATCTAGCTTCAATTGACTCATGAATTCAACTATAAAATTACATAAATGACTGTTTATATCTTTTAAAGAATATGTATTAGAAAGATAGTTTACAATCTCAATGCATATATCTTCATTAATATTCAGTTTTTTGTATGTATGTCATTGACCTTAACATAATGAAGATTATGTTGTGTAACCGAACCTGTGTTTCTACATTCATTAAAAACATAATACTTAAATGATATTCACTTGGTGTTGTTTACTTGTATTTTCCCATTGTTATTTAGGACTGTAATTGGGCAGTCTCTTATTAGCATATGTACATCCTGTGCGGACTGCCTCGATATTACCTGGTCACAAACTGTATAAACAATAATGGGATAGTGACTAGCAGTGGAATCCAGGATGTGCGTTTCGTCCTATTTGAGACTCGTCAAGCGGATGTACCTGCATCTCAGAGTTGATGTTCACTCTGAGATTCAAACCCAGGGTACATTTCGCTTCAAACGCTATCAAATTATCCATTTAGCTAGTGATTGCTGATAGCCACCTGCTTCTGCAATGATTTCGAAATAATTTATCCTTAATCAACAAAACTCGGTATTTAATGTCTCAACAGACTTTCAGTTTTATAAGTATAATCATCAATAGAAAAAACTATATATTCAGAATAACTTTTAAGGCTAAAGAATTGTGTAAAGTATTTTTAGAAACATATCAAAATTTTAGTAGATGAATTCATTGGTCGAACATCCGACCGTTGTTTCTACCTTGACGTGGTGGTCGGGCTTGCATATCGTGATGAACCAGTCGAGCTATACTGGCTGGAACAATCGTTCCTAAAAGTCCTACCATGCCAGACAAGTTGGTTGAAGAGCAGGAAGACTAAAAGCAACAAACCCAAGGTCCGAAGGCGAACCCGTACTGATGACTGTACAGAGGTGTGACAGTAGTAAGGTGTTTCCTTCAAACAACCAGCATAACAGCGATGCTGCCTTCCCACAAAGAGGGGTGTGGTTAGAAAACATCGACCCTAAAAATGCTACCCAGCCTTATCCTACGGATATCCGTTTCCGGCAGTAAGGTCTCAACAAAAAGGCGTGTGTGGCGGACCTCAAACAGTTGTTCCTAGGGCACTGTGGTCACGCTCTCAGGCCACTAACACCACCTCTCATCCAATTTCCTTCTCAGGTACCTCCTGAAGAACCCTTCCACGGTGAGGTCAATCGGGAAATGATAACCACCCTCATACCTCTAACAGCACTTAAGATCACTGACTAATGATTCAAACGGCTGTTTTGTCCCATGCGTGCGATCGTCGATATGCACTACTGAGAAGTCCAGTACTAAGCAAAACGGCTGCCCCGTGCTTCTAGTTTTTCAATGCTAGTCTAACATAGATCGACTCATCAATTAGACCATTAAAATTACTACAATCTCCACAGACCCCCCCGCATTATGACAATATCAAAATTTGCTAGTTTTCTTTTGCTCAGTTTGACAATCACATAATAGTGTGCATCAACATTTCTACATATGGTATTGATATTAAGAAATTTACGCTTCATACAACGTATGAATCAATGATATTTACAACATTAATCAATTGAAGATACTAAACAAAGAATAGGGGAAATTCTCAAAAGTCATGATACAGTAATGTAACTATGTAAAACAAATCTGATGCGTTACTATGACACATTTATGCTCCTTATCGATCTTCATATAAATGATAACTATATAGTATTGATTTTTATAATACTATCCATAATGCCATGGTTACTTGATATTGATCTAACTTAAAAAATAATAAATAAAACATTTCACACTTTTAATGAAATTCATTTCTTATATCCTATGAAATATTAATTGAATAGATGAATTCATGAATTCATTGAAGCTAAACAACCATGGAAATTCCTAGAAGTATTGGATAGCTGTTTCGTCCTATTGTAGAACTCTTCAGCAGTGCTCATCCACGATCCCACCTTGTGAGATTCGAACTCAGCACTTATGGAATAACTGAAAATATATGAAATTTTTTGATAAAAGCCTTGATTGTTAAATATAAACAAAAAAAGCAGATAATTAGGTTCATTATATTTAGATAAAATGATTTTTGGCTTTTAAAAAAAAGGTGTGGGGGGAAGGGCATGGGATTAGTCATCACCTAATACAGTATCAAATGTAACTCAACAACAACTGAATAGATCGAATCACTTATTATTTATTTATTTATTATTATTACTATTAACTAAGCGATGAAGATCTTATCATTCATTACAGTATTCAAAGCTTGTTAAATACACGAAGCTTTAATATTATCTTTTAATGATCGAAAGTGGATACCTTTGAAATGCTTTTGTAAAATCATCAGTATAGGGTTATAGAGATTATTATATATATATTTTTTTATTGAGATTATGGATTGGTTGATGTTAGATTACCATCCTATTATAGGACTCCTCAGAAGTTCACATTGATGATACTAATCCGACAGATTTGAACCTAGGGCCCTTCGGTTTCGCACGCGAACGCTTAACTTTTAAACCATCTAGTCGGTATCTAACAGTGTTAATGTCTAACTTCAATCAATTCACAAAATTGCACGATCATCTTCTGTCTATAACAAGTATTATTTAAAGAAAGAAACCTCTTATAAGAATTAAAAGTTTGGCGAGACTTTAATTTATGGACAACCTTTGAACGAATCTTAAGCGACCTTGAGAAACATTAGCCAATCAGCAGACAGTCAGTACAGCGTAAAAATATGTTATACAAAACTAATGAAATAAAGTGGATACACTTCTTATACGTGGTTCAAAGAACTCGTCAAGGTTAGAAGGAAGTTCAGAGGTTCTAAAGTCGTAAAGCATGCAGTAGAGGAAGTCATTCATACGGCTACAGTATAGTCGGCCTGCAGAGCCATGATAAAGTCTCAAAACCTCTTTCAGCCTCGACTAAATAGCTTCTATATTGTTTATGTGCACTCCAGTTGTTGTGTGCACAAAATGCTACTTGTGGATAACTACACGATGCACATGACCAGGCTTATGTAGGAGTCTGTACGCTGCAGCCAATGTTACTGGTGCTTTTATTATCCGATTCGCAATATTTGTCGTAATTTGCCTTAGTTAGAAATTTTATATGGGGTTTTCATCACGAACTGACATCAGCTATAATGCCAGAAATTTATTTAACCAAATGGATGAAAGGCTTTTGCGTTAAAATCCGAGATCTATTATCTTTTACCTGATTGATTAGTCCACAAATTATAGTCTCGGCGTTTTATTTGATATACCCGCTCAATCATCATGTTTTGTACAAAATTCCCTGTGAACCGACCATAAGTTAGCATTAGGCACTGAAGTTGACGCCGTAACCTTGAAATCTCTAAAACGCTTCTGATTGGCTCGTTCATAAATTAGAGTCTCGCCAAAAGTTTCAATTATAAGACTTAGCTCTTATAATGATTAGAGTGATATTGTAAAGAAATAGAGATTTCAAGTAAATCTATTCTATTCCAACTAATTGTTTCATAATAAATCTAACAGAATATTGGGAGACTTCAAATAGCATAGGAGTGACAATTATCTAAAACAAAACTCTACATGAGATCTATATCATAATGAATAGTAAATCCAAGTTTTTTCTTCATATTTGTCAAGTTGTATAGACCATCTATGAAGAATATACAACAATCTATTTATCTTGGGGTTATATAGGTCTCTAAATAAAAACACACCATCTATTTGTTTTAATTATATGTATATCTATGCTATCTATAACTGACATGTTAGAACATGATAATGTAGACAGTGAATAACGTCTCTATTCATTTGTTTCGCTTATTATGAAGTTGGAAAAAAAATGTATTTCTCATGTATCTTTCTATCAATAATCAACAATCACAATCTATCATCTTTGCATGTAAGTCAAACTGAATGATGTGAACTGTTATAGATTTAAACTATAAGAATGGCGCCAACTAAAATATGTTTTGATATAATGTCAGTCAATTAATATGAGCATAATAGCGTTCTAGTGTAATTTTTTTCTGGTTTATGTTTTTTTTTCTAGCGAGTTGGTTTTCTACAGTATGGGGCCGCCAAATTCCATGTCTAACCCCCCTTTCTTTATCCGGGCTTGGGACCGGCAGTAATTTCAGAGGGGGCTCTATATAGAGTTAATATAAACATCATGTATAAGTTGAATAGCTTAATCAATTCGAATTAGTCAAATAGAATGAATTGTTACAGAAAGAGATTGTATACAAGTTAATTTCCTCCTTTCAACTTTCTAGTGACCATATAGGATTTATTATTGTAGTTTAATGTAAAACCATTTGACAGTTTTAATGACAGTTGAATAAATAAAAAAATTTGTGGGGGGAGTCGAAATTAAGTGTACCTGTCAGAATATGATTTTCTTAGTTTATATTCATGATTTACGCCTGTTATTGTTCATGGTGGAGTATAGGTCAACCACTAACTAGTATTCTCTATTCAACCTTAACCTGCGCATTCATTTCCAGTTCTTTCCAGTTGTTATTCGTTCTTTTCATATATGTGTTTACTATTCCCGATGTAGTGTGTTCTTTGATCTTTCTAATTTTAAGTTTCTTTCCAAGTTTGTGCTTGCTTAGTGATGCAATTTGATGATGATGATGAGGTTGTGAATCTTCATCGATTGAGATGGTTGGGCCATGTGTTGCGTATGCTTGAACACTGATTGGAGATGGTTGGAAGAAAGTTAGAGGCAGCCAAACCAAAAAGTGGCATCAGTCCATAAAGTCACTAACTTCTGGTCTGAGTCATGTTGGTAGATGCAGACTACTTGGTTGGGGTCCGCGTGACTAACGTGACCAATGGTTGGAGACCCTGGGTGACATGGCTCAAAATCTATCACAATGGCGTCGGTGTATGCACTCTTTGTCTTCCTTTAAACTATGAGAATAAAATCGCTTCATATCTTTCTTTCTACGTACTAATTCTTTCTTCCTGTACTATATCCTTATTGCAATCTTCTGCTTTGTGAACTCTTCTCCTCTAAATGGTTCTTGTTCTAATCTTTTTAACGTTACTCAATTCGCCTGAGAATATTTTATGATGTAATCACATTTCATGAGTTGACCTAAACTGGACCATCATTAGAAACCTGGAAGCATTGAACGGCCGTTTCGTCCTAGGCCGGGACTCCTCAGTAGTGCACACCCATGATCTTGCACTTGAGACTCGAACCCAGGATCTTTGGTTTTGTGTGAGGAATTGTGGATGTGCAATAATACATAACAAAAAAATCTTATATCACATTAAATGTGTTTATCACTCAATTTTAACGAATAGAAGTGAAAAAAGTAACAACATTGTTTTATAAGCGTAAATTAAGTAAAAATTATGCTTGTCATAGTCATTCCAAATAAATGAAACATCATAAGTCAATTAAAGCTAGACTACCATGCAAAACCTGGAAAAGCTGAACGACCGTTTTATCCTATCATGACACTCGTCAGCGATGTACATCCACAATTTCATACACCAAAATCAAGGATCCTGGGTTCGAGTCCCAAGTGCAGGATCATGAATGTACACTACTGAGGAATCCCACAGTGAGACAAAACAGCCATCTAGTGTTTACAGGTTTTCCTTAACGTTCTAGCTTCAATTGACTCATGATTTCAACCATTAAAAAGTTACTATAATCTCCACAAATACCCCTTTTTGATTTCAATATTAATTAAACAGTTTCACTTACTCTCCAATTATCATATATAAGTCTAATTGAAACAAACTACTGGTGATGTTGTTAATTAGTTTCCATTTTTGGAAGGTAGACAATCACTAAGTGTTGTGATAAATAAGCGTTTTTTTTTAATATTTTGTACCTGAAATGTTCATGATAATCCCATGACGCTTTAACGCAACCATAATCCTATTTTAATCCTTTACATGGTGTTTAATGTTTTTTCTTCCCTTGTGAAATGCCTTTTCGTTGATTAATTTCATAAGAAAATCAATTTCTGAAATAGGCATTCAGTACTGTAATTTTTGTTGTTGTTGTTTTTGTTTACAAAAACAAC